CCCCCCCCCCACCCCCCCCCCAAAAAAATATATATTTCTGAGTGTCAGTTTATTGAGCGTTTTTGCGCGATGACACATCCGCCATGTTGGTGTCCCAAACCAATCCTGTGGGAGTAGAACCTTTTTCTTAACTAAACATTTTCTTTAGTTCCAATGAATTTGCAAAGCTGCTGTCCACGCGTGTGACTTTCTTTAAGCGAAAAGGACGACCATTTTATGTGGTCATCCAGGCCAGGGAAAAGGCAGTACCTTCATTTCTCAGCTTTTTTAAGACCCTTACCCTGTCCCAGGAATCGAACCCGCGACCCGAACCCGTGACCTTCCGTTCTGCACTCAAGCTCTTTACACACTGAACTAATCCTGCCACGGTCCAAGTGGTGGAAGGTTGGCTGTGCGGCTTTGAGAAAGCTCGCAGAATTGTAAATTTTTGGCGGAGTGTAAACTTGAGTGTTACTTTTTGTGTACGTGTAGGTGTGGACACATCTTGATAATGGCAGCTGTGCTGGGCAGGCGATTGGGGTTCGCACAAGAATGGAGAATGGTCTGTCGGGATTTATCGCTACTAAGATGATAAGCGATAAGCATATAACCACCCCTCATGAAAGAGTCAAGGTAACCTCAGTCACGTGATTGCCTGGAAACAATTCTTGAATAAGAGGATTGAAATTTATTCTGCCAGTAAGCTCTCCATTTCAAGTGGCGAGAGAACGTGCATGCGAGCGAGCGGCGCAGCCAAGAGGGGCTAGCTCTCGCGTCTCCTTTCGCGTGCTGCTCTTGCGTGACCTCTCGCAGTATTCCCAAAATGAAGAGTTTTCTCGCAGTTTATCTCAGTTTATCTCAGTTTATGTCTACTGTTTCGCCTTGTTTAACGAATTCATGGCTCATGCAGGGCTGTGAGAAATACGACTTACACAGCCACACCCAAAGAAAAAACTCGCTCCATAACTTACACTCAACCTCGAACTCTTTCAGTAAGAGATATTGAACGTGTTATGATATTCCTGAATCCGCGCGCGGGCAAGATTAAGCGAATCATGTGTTCTGATTGGCTACCCGAGCATCTTGCCACCTCGGGATATCCCGCGTTAGTCCCGCAAGAGAAAGTTCTGGTTATTGGCCTTGTTCTTTTTTGCGTGTTATTGACTTCGACTTAATTTCGGTCCACAAAAACGCAAAAAAGAACTTGGCCAATATACAGCCATCTTGACCTCATACTTGGTCATTAACGCATTTATCATACCTGTAACAAGTATAGATGCCAAGACACCACTTGCTTCATGTTACAGACAAATTGTTGAACTATTTTTGTAATTTCATGTGGGCATGACTCTGCATTGCCGAGTGACGCGCATAAATATGGAGCGGCTACAACTTGATCTGACCTGTCGCTCGTCCGACCTGGCCGATAAAGAAGGAAAATACAGGTACCTTGCTCACATGTAACCATTAATATTACGTAACATCTGCTTTTAAAAACATTCTTTCTCACCCTTTTATGCATATAGGAAACCTGTTCCGGCGCGGCGCGAAATGAAGGAGGGGGCGAAGAAGAAATCTGCCCCCCCCCCCCCCCCCCCCCCCCCCCCCCTCAGCGAAGTTGCTAGCGATTGGCGTATCACGAACCACCAACTTTTTTGTAGTTACAGATTTTACTTTAGGTAACCATGGGCTTTGATAGGGGTCTTCTTTCTAGGTCTCTGTAACTGGTAAAGGGACCTGCAGTTACATAGTATATGATATTAATTATTTTTGTTGCTCAGTCCTCTTAAAGATTTGTATTATGATCACGATTCTGCTGACGCTGACAAAAAGGAAGATGAAGCGGCCAAAAAGAAAGCAAACAGACCAAGTAAGTACACACCTCCACTGACGGACCTGATAACTTGCACTTTTCTATCCGTACGTGTGTAATAGACCTTATTCACGATACCCGCCATCTTTGCACGCGCTCAAGGACTGATGGGATAAAAGCAATGTCACATGGTTTCTCAGGGGGCAAACAAGTGAAACAAATTGCCAATGGAAGAAATCGCGGTTGAGTTTGTTTATTCTAGATAACAGGAAATGAAGACCTTTTCATCTAAAGACGATAATGTCAAAGTATGGGGGGAAGTGATCATTACTACTTTTTTTTGTATGCAGTATAACGACCGTAGATTTCCTCATGGCAAACAGTAATGATGTAAATCTTGCCAAAACTTGATACTATGAAATCGTCATCTCGTTTTGATAGCATAAACAAACTCGACCGCGAGCAAACTCGAACGCCACTATCTTAATTCGCAAGCTGGCTTATATGAATGAGTAAAGATCTTTCGGCTCTTCCTGTTTGCTTTCCTCTGTCAACAAGAACTAACATTTCAAAATTTTGACCTGATTGGTCGTTCTTGGGGCAGTTCGCCAAAGCATGTTGTGGGCAGGCAAATGAATAAAGAGTGCGTTGAAGTGATCGTGCTTGTTGGTCATCTAGAAACACTTAATGCTTTGCTGAGTATTCATGATAGCGCTATTTTTTTTAGTTTCCTCTGCTTTTACTCGACGTTAACTCTTTCCTGCTATTCCAATCTTGGTATTTAGAATACGTGAAGCGTGTGATTGTACGCCCGGCATTTAAGAACATTTCCTTCAAGGAAGCCGAGAGACTCTTAGCTGAAATGGACCAAGGAGAATGCATTGTGAGACCCAGCAGCAAGGTAGCCATGACAACCAGTCAATGATATGGGGGGCCACACAGTTTTTTTTCGCTTGTGTCGTTATTGCGTTGGACTGGCTGAAGGCCGAATCGCCACGCTCTAATGGGCGCAGCCGCAAAAACAACCTGTGGGCCAGGGCCTATTGTTACCCTGTTTAACATTGCAAATTGATAAGATTGGGAACTGGTGCCTTTAGAGGTACTAGGGTAGGGCCTAAGATAACCTAGAGATAGCACGGATGTATCCATAGCAACCCCGCATGCGAGAACCACACAAGCCACTCTCCGGTGCTTCGAAAACCGCAGGGTTCCCCGCCAGCGGGGTCACATGGAACTTTCGACACAAATCTCCCCCTTTTGTTACCCTGTTATCATTCAACGTCAAATTCTATTCTTGTTTTATTAACATCAATTAACTTAAACATCGACATGCGGGTAACTATAGAATAACTAAGCAACGGCCTCTTGCTTAGCTCGCGCGCCCCAATTTCCCTTCCCTTTTGTACCTTTTGCTAAACGCGGTGAATAACACTCAAATACACTTCAATTGAAGAGACTTTCTTAGTGGTGTAAATTGGAAACCACAGTATTAGCTGGTTATGACAGGGTCTTGCTATCATTTATTCAATATACTTGTCTCTCTTTCCATCAGGGTGCCGATCACCTGACCGTCACGTGGAAGGTTGATGAAGGAGTTTACCAGCATGTGGATGTGCGAGAGGAAGGCAAAGAGAACGCTTTTAGCCTTGGTCGGTCACTTTGGATTGACAGTGAGGTGTGTATGGGAAATCCTTCTGATAAGTCTGTAAAGGTTCTTTCATTTATTTGATTTGATTGCTGTGTATATTACGAGCCTCTCACGCAGAGGTTCTTAGGATTTCGTCACGCGTTCCTTCCCGTAGGGCGGATTGCGTGACGAACAAAAATAACGTCTCCTTGGGAGTTTATAGTATTATGCTGCATAAGTAAGTTAAAAGTGCTAAGTGCTTAAGAAATTATTATTGGCAATTTTGAGGTTGCGCCGCCGCGTGAAACTGGGTCGATATTGTGTCGAAATGCACGCTGGGACTGTTTTAGGGGCGGTATCATTTTCTTTATTGGCTACTATAAGGTTGCGAAGAGACTGGGTCTTAGGCTGTATTCACACTATAACGGATAGCTTTTGCGCCGGCCCGAAAACCATACGAAATAGGGCTTCTGTTAACACTTAAGAACTGTGACTGAGGCGCGATTTTTGTGACGCAGCGCCGCGTCATTCTCTAAAGTGGAGAGAGACATATCGGATAGGTGTCCATACTATATGGGCACGAAAAGTCACACAATGTTTTTTGGTCCAACACAAAACCGATTTACAATAAAATTGGCTCTAGTTCACTGCTATAAATTTGGAATATTGTTATTTGCTTTGTAGGAATTTGAAGATCTTGACGAGATCATCGCGCGGTTCATTCAGCCCATGGCGTCGTTTGTTCGAGAAGTTCTCAACCACAAAAACTACCGCGCCGTGGACGGCGTCAAAGCCAAGCTTGAAGAGTTGCTTCTTGCGGAGAAACGGAAACACCCGCAAAGAATTCCTTACTTCATGAGTACTACAAAAGACTTCCCTGGGAAGTTTTTCTTGGGGTATCTTCCTCGTGTTAAGGCCCGTGTGGAGTACGTCAGTGTGACACCGGATGGGTTCCGATATCGGGGCAGAGTACATGCTACTTTAAATGGTTTGTTCCGGTGGTTCAAGGAACACTTCAGAGACCCTATACCTGGTAGGTGTTTATTTTAGTCCTAGAATTGGCTGAACCCACATGCAGGACCTCCTGTCAAAAAGTTATAGTTGGAACTTCTCGTTAACTACTTCCTCTAGTAAGCGACCGCAACAAATTTTGTTGTGACGGTTTTACGGTTTTCCATTGTTTTGACGGTCTTTTAAGCGACGAATTGCTACTGCTAGATTCGAAGAAATTCTAGTAACAACATAAAACTACGCAAATCGTAACTTGGAAATTGCATGCAATTTGTTCTCTTCCAAAAAGGGTGTGCCCTCGGACCTCTCTGTCGAAAAGACCCTCTCTACAGTAGTTCGACTCTAGTAAGCGACCACTAAATCTTGGTGCTCACTTTCGGGAGGTTAGATTGTATATCAAGCGTTATCTCGATTATCGAGACTGTGGTGCCGCCAAAATTTTTGCGGGCGACAAGGGGGGCCCGCAATCCTAATCTCTAGGTTGTTATTACGCATGCGCCGCATGTATGTAGCCAGCATTCGTTTGGATTTCCACTAAGAACTGAATGTACACAACGCAATTTGATCACGCGCGTTTCGACCTTCTGCCCCTCGCAATCTGATCACGTGCGTTTTGACCATCTGTCACGGGAAACACAGCGATGGAGCAAAAGCGTTTGGACCTTCGATCGTTGTGGCCCGCTCTCCCTAACCTTTGGTTATTACTAGTTACATATCAAGAAAAGCGACCTGAATTCCAGAACAATAGGTATTGTTTTGTATTGTTATTGTTGTATTGTTGGTATTGTTGTATTGTTGTATTGTTATCGAAGGTTTCCGATTATTCAAACAAATTTCGGCTTGGTCTGAGCAGGTGTCACCTAGAAAAAAGGGCCTATTGTTTCAATGTTAATTGGAAAATTCAGGTCGATACAATGAGCCATTTCTTGATACGCCTAATTGACCTACAGGGGTCTGTGACACTCAATCACCGACGGCAGAAACATCGTTTTTCCCAGATATCTCGACAGTGAAGTATGAGTTATCCCCTTTAATCCTAGACCATGTTATGGGGAGAAGATCTATCTCTCTAACTTTTAGATATGTGGACGAAGACCTGTGGTGTTACCATTCAAATGAAACTTCATTGGCGGGCGTTTTACGTTGTACTATCAGTTTCGTCAAATTTTACAAATAGAAATTTTGATTTATTTGTGAATTTTTACCACTCTTAGAAGTTAAAGAGCTGTTGACGCTGCACGTGTAGTGTCGAATCTTCGCAAAATTACCTCGTTTACCACAGACAAAGATACATCCCTTAACATGGAGTAACAATTTGCTTTATATTATTATTTCCAGGTACTCCGCGCCATCGTGGGATGCCCATGTCAGAGAGCAATACCCCCTACACACCGGGGGGTACCCCATCGATTAACACCGACGTTGACCCCTCCCGACTGTTACCCCAACTTCAACAGCACTTCCCCCGGGGAATCAATGATCCTAAAGTGTACTCAGCTCTTGCGGCGGTTGCTAGGCAACAACAACATGAAACGCAAGCGAAGGCAACGCCTACTCAGCTTACGCCTGCACAGTGGGGCGCGGTCGCTGCCCAACACATACAGCGGCAAAACAAACAGCGCAGTCAACTCCAACAAACACCGACGCAGCAGACACCTTCAAACCAAACTCCGAGTCAACAGGGATACCAACAATATCCACAGTACGGGTACTATCAGCAACATCAGGATCAATCGCAAACTCCTACTCCTACCTATGGTTACCAGCAAACGTATTCAGGACGCAAGTCAACTCCAAAAGAAGGCAACAAGAGCCGGTAATCTCAGAGATGTGCGGTTTTCTGATTGGTGTGGATTGAACATATCTGTCATAATATGTTTTCATTATGCTGTCGGCGAAACAATTTAACATTTTCACAGGCTAGAAAATGTGATAATGGCTGGAGAAAACAATTACACAAAGGTTTATTTATATCAGTTTTACTGCTAATTGGACTCAACCGACCAACATAAAGCAGAAATATACAAAATAAGTGATAATTATGACTTGAGCACGTTGGTCATTAGGCAGTTGTCTTATTCCATTCACTTGTGTTGCTCGGCTCCAAATCTGCGTTCTATAAAATTACCAAAAGAAAAAAAAAATTATAAAAGAATACAACTAAATAAAAAGACCACCAAATGAATTTCACACTGTTCTACTAGAAAAGAATGCGTTCTTCGTTGGAAGTTTGTTTGCTTTAGTGTGTTTTTGTGTCTGTCTTAAACTCAGAACAAAAGTCGAACTGGACATGAATCTAATGCTACTACGCAAAATCTATTGTTTTCCTGCATTAATGTTAAGTTGGAACTTACATTAAAAACCCACATATAAGAAGAACCCCTGATTTTCAACCGATGATAGGTTTAAAAAGTTATTCGTTAGAATAGAGTGGTCTGTGGTTCTTATCTATGTGCTGCGTATTTTGGCCTAATTTCAGCCCAAATGTTCTTAATCTGCTGTTTCTTAGGTTTTTTTACTCTATCCTGTCTTTGCTAAGGTTACTTCAAAAAAGTAGTTTTACTGTGAGGAAAGTGTTCTGATTGCCGAAGTGTTTCCGATGTGGGTTTAAACACTGTGGCAAAACAAGCTGATCAGCTTTGTAGGATAAATTAACACTACAATACTTTAGATTTTGTTTTCATCAGGACTTTAAGAGACACCAAAAGTTTTTACTTATGTCTCAAGTTACCTGCGTAGCTGACGGTTTTGTGGACTGGGGAGGAGGGGGAGAGTAAGGGAGCATCAAAACCGTAAGGAGAATGGGGCAGGAACAACGAGAAACGTTTTTGTTTCACCCCTCATTTACACGCGCTTCGCGCGGCTTCATCGCTCATTTGCGCGCTCGCTCCCCTGACAAAAGTGCCCGCTACGCAGGCAGTGCCTCTAGTGAAATCAGGCCATTTAGTTTGCGATCTCAGTTAGTGTAAGACGTTTGTTCTGTGGTCGTGAATGTTAACACTGTACTTTATGTACTATTTTTGTAACATAGTAGCTATCATATTGGTAAACGATTTTGTAACTATGAAATCTCTGTTAGAAAATAAAATGAAAAAAAAAATGTAATATCAAAGAATCGTTTATTGGCTTAGTCTTTTAAGCTGGCAGGAGCATTTTCGAGAGGGGGCGGTGGGGAGTTGAGATTATTGTCCTGGCTCGTTGCTGTTGCCGCTTTATTGATAACTCAACATGCAAACTGTAAAATGGGACTATGATACTCTTAGTTACTGACAGAAAAACGTTGTAAGCGTCCTCCTTCAAATAAGCGCCCGGGTAACTTTGATCGGCTTGCCGGCCGGCTGAAAGTTGTAGTTCGGTCATCTGTAGGGTACTTAGTGGCGCTTTCCCTGTCGACAAAAGCCAGTAGAATGTAAGTGAGATACTAGTGACCAGGGGGAACTCCTATATATAAGTCACGAGGATCTTTGTCGGAACAATATTGCCTCAAGGGGGGCCGACCTAAAGCTACTCCAGACAAGGTTTGTGATTGGCTGGGAAAACAATAGCATGTTGACCTAATGCCTCTATCCCTGAAAACAATAGGTAGTGCAGGTTATAGGGACCAATGAAATAAGAGGTATGGATGGGTGCAGGTCAATCGCCCGAAGGAGACAAATATGGGCCTGGCACAGGTTTTTGACCCCTGAAAAGGAGACCGTGCTCGAACACCGCCTGTATGTGGGCTTTTTCCTTTTGATGAGCAATTCTTTGCGGGCAGAAATATTGGCTCTCTTTCCTAAACTCCCTACGTGAGATCAAAATCTGCCCTTTTTGCCCCTAAGCGATATAACAAACATGCATGTTACTTTTCAGTGTACAGGCATTTGGCCGGTAAGTGGCGGGAGACCCAGTTTATTTGAATAACCCGAGGGATGAGTCATCCGCAGCAGAAATAGTCGGAGGGAATCGACCAATAGGTCATTTCCGAATTCCAAAAACTCTTCTTTCAAAACGAGGCTAAGTGCAAAACCTTTATTGTAAAAATAAGTTTTATTTGTATCGCTTTTAGCCTCGCTTTGAAACAGAGGTTTGAGGCAACTCGGAAATGGTCTATTTCCTTACGTTTACTTGTGAAATTTCTTCCAATTATCCTTTCGGTCGGAGCCTCCCAGGATAGGCCTGATGAGACTTAAAAAGTAACTAAAAATCTTGAGATCTATAGAATTCGAAAATTAGGCAACTTCGTCCCCAGGGCTTTTCCCTTAAAAAATGGGTGGGACATTGGACAAAATCACTCTCCGCTTGATCGTACAGTAATTCCACAGTCACGATGAATTTGTGAAGTACCACTCGATAACAGCTTGTCTCAACTCTGAAGCATTTGACATATTTTGTACGTGACAACGTAGAGCCGGTACGTCCTTTCATAAACTTGTAGCAGTTGAAAAAGGTAATACGCAATTAAATTTATCTTAAGCTTTTGAATCGCACACACGCGAAAATATTGACATGGTTCGCGATGTTATTATTTTCCATTGTTGCTCCGTTCGACTTCTGTCAGCGCAAAACCAGCAGGTTGCATATAAATCAGCTTCTCAGGAATATTTAGGCTGTGCACGTGACCAGCCAATGCCAGGGCCTTGGGGACGAGGTTGAAAATTAGGCTAATTTACCATTAGCACTGGCTTCTTCCCCCCGAGTTTCCCAAGGTAAAGCGAGCCAAATTTTTCTTGTTTGGCGATGATTTGGTATGTCTGGTTATAACAATGAGGTCATGATAATGAGGCGAGCTTTATAAACTTCGCACTCTTATGTCCATCGCTTTATATTTAACTATTAAGCACTTAAATAGCAGATGAAGATTTCTATTTAGTTACATATTATGGAGTGAGTCAATTCTTTATTAAGCCCGTCCTCCCAAGGAAGGCCCCCTTCTTTAATTATAAGCGTTCCCCCTACTTTAGACTGTATTAATTAATCACGACTGTTAACACTTCATGTAGACTCAGATCCTGTATGCCTGCACTAAACTGGATTTGTTTTCGATCCTTGGCTGCATAATCTCCAAATTCCTGTGCTTTGCGTTCATGGAGAATCAAAACCATCTTCTGGTCGCTTGACAAGGCAGTATAACCATCCGCTTCGCTAAATTCAATAAGCGCCCTCTTTATTTAGCCTAGCCTATTCAAGGCTTTAATTCAGATTGTGGGGACGGCGCAAAAAGATGCGAGCAGGAACAATTGCGAGAGGTAGGGTAGGGGGTGGTCGTCTCATATCTCCCTCTTTTTTTCCTCCCGCTTTTTGACTTCGCGTCACACTCAACTATCTGAATGCATGGAACGTGCTTGAAATGAATAAACCCCCGAGGGGCTTAATAGAGAATTAGAATATCTCTGGTTGGTATTTGCGGGTACGTAATTCAGTGTTACGTCATGGTGCATTCGTTGTTTTGGCCATTTTCTATTCAAGAAATAATTTTATCGATGAATTTTGACGGCGGGAGAGTGAAAATCGAGGTCAGAGAAACTTTGTTTTGCGCTTTTGCAGGAAAGTTTTATCGGCTCTGTCGGGCCTATATTCTTAAAGGCGATGATATATGTTTAAGTTCAGCTTTTTTTTCCAATCAAAACTCTGCTTTGCTTCATTGAATTCACGTTTAATACGCCTAAATCAGCATGAAACGACGTTTACCGGCAAAAAAATCCACAAAAGAATGCGTTAAATATAATATTTTTCAATGCGTCTTCCGTATATTCTTCCGTGGCTTAATGGTCTGGGAGATTACGTGGAATGCAGGCAGTCCGGGTTCAAGCTTCAATTGAGCCTACTTCTTCTCCTCTTGTTGTTTCTTTTTTTCCTTTTTTATCTCTTGGTATGTTTTCCCTTTGTAGTTTTTATTTTTTACGTGTCTCGCTTTTGAATTCACTGCCATTAAGTTTAAGAAACATTAATTCTAAAGTTTTACGTATTTAGGAAAGCCTTGGACGATTTTTACCTGTAACTTTTATTGTAGTTTAAAACGGTTTTATTTAACCTAGCGTATGTTTTCTTTTTATATATTTTTGCTTATTTTTTTTTTGTTACTATTTTTATTATTATTATTATTATTATGATTATTATTATTACTGTTATGACTAGCCATGGTTAAGTAATGACTGAGTATGTCTAGAAAATGATAAGAAATGATAAGGTTGAAGAATTGAGGGCTGACGGCTCGAGCGAAGTGAGGTTTAAAATTTTTTACGTCACTTAAGTTGGGAGAACAAAAGTGAAATATTTCTTGGCCTTGATACGCTGTCTTTTATCATGCATTCGATTCAGATCTAGATTTTTCCCAATAAAATTTTTTCGTCTCTTTTTCCTTAACTTTTTTCGCCCTTAATTTCATACTCGTGGCCCTGCGAGGTACTGCAGAACACGTATTTGCAGATATTTAATGATCAGAAGGTAATTAGGTAATAATTAGATATCGGGTGATAATCAGGTGATCATTAGTAGCATGACCTTATATACTCGATTAAACGCCGCGGCCGCCGCAGATGGATGAACGCTCTCCTCGAATAAACGCCGCACCACGAGGAGCCGCAAGCAGTAAAATTTCTGTCCCGTAATTTAATCAGTTAAATCATCAAAGTTGACAGGTCTTTCTGATGATCAAAGCGACCGTTCGGTTGACCATTTACACCTTCAGTGCGAAGACTGTCACGGGAACATTAACACCTTCAGGATAATTGCTTACCATAACAGTGGTAGGTCGCGCGCGTCTGGTCGGTCTCGAAGAACGTGATCGTGACTGTTGTTTTCATTCAGTGACTGTGCGCGTTGATATGCCAACGTTTAA